GTTACTTGGAAATATTCCAAACTGAAGATCATATCCGGTGCTATCAGAATGCCTCTTTTGTAACAGAATGTGATCATTTCATCAATGTGGGCTGTATTAAAGTTGACAGAATTATGAAGAATGTAAGAAGTGATGCACCCCCCCGCCCCCTCACACAAGCAAGCCCGTCATTAAAATAAGAATCTAAGACGGCCCTGATTATAAGACGACCCCCTCTTTTTCAAGACTCAAGTTTGAAAAAAGACTTTTTGAACACCGAACACCAAATTAATTTTTATACAGAAAATAATTACAGTACATCTGAAACAAATGATTATAACAATATATTTGAGAGAAAAAGCGTGTTATTTTGCCTCATTCAAATCTTAACATCTGAACATTTAAATATCTAAAGTGCAATCACATTCGTAAATGAATGGTTTCTGGTTTTTGAAATGTAAATTACATCATAACTTCTCCTCAGCTGTCGGTTAACCTGGCCGATCTTCGACCCACTTTTCTCCAGATTGTCGCTACGTTTCTCCATTTTCTGTTATCTCTTCTATTATTTTCTTCTCTTGTCTTTCTTACCGCTGTTTTTTATTTGTCTTCTTCGTGCTATTTTTATTTTTATTCTTCGTGACAGGGGTTCACTTTGTCCCGGGGAGTCAAGTTCAGCATTTGCTTCAATGATATCTGGCGTCATCTAGTGTCGTGAATGGGTATAACGTCTAGACCCCAAATATAAGACGACCCCCACTTTTTCAGTCTTATTTCAATGCAAAAAACACCGTCTTATATTCGGGCCAATACGGTACTTTAATTCTTTGTAATGATTTCAGTTCTTTTTCTATTGCACCATATTCATTTTTTTTTTAACCCTATCGGGGACGGCGGTTACTACAGTGGACAGCTTATCATGGTATCAGGTTATAGGGTGCATGAAAGGGTTAAAGACACACTTAAAAAAAAAATTCAACATAAAACTTTGCTTTGACACTGAAACTGATTTTCATCCCTTCCAATGGGAAATGCAAGCACGCTTTTTCAAAATTTCATGCGCTTCAGCATTCACACAATAAAACACAGTGGTAGGAAATGTAACACTCCAATTACCTGTTGAAACGTCGCTTGAACCAAGTTTGCTGGAAACATGTTGCTGCAGAGGAGAGGTTGAAAGGTTTGTTAAAAACCCCGAAGGAACCGACATGCAGCGAACAACCCTCACAGAGCAACGTAATGTCAACTTCCATCTTGTAGCAGCCATAATGTCATGAACATTTTCTGAAAAGAACTTCTTCATTCAAATATCTGCGTATTGAAATGATTCTCAGCATTTCTAGCATTCTCGTTTTATCCTTTTTTTTTCTCCCTACAACACAACAAAACAAGCTAAAAGCAGACTCATGTTCCAAGTACCACTCAAGTCCTTTTAGTTGAAGCGGGTATGCTCCCTTCCACCGAGGGCAGCTACAGCATCACTCTGAGAGCGGTGGCACATGTCCTTACATTCAAGGCGAGGGCGTGAGGAGAGCATAAATCCAAGGAACTCAAATGTAATGCAGCGGAGTAGAAAACAATGCAGCATGAACGACCAACCAAGTCTGCGGCACGTGCTGAGTGCGATTTGCGTTGGGGTATTCATTCAAAAGTCCATTTTGTGTCCAAGACGAAGCAAATGTAGCTAATGTGCTATCTTCATCCCCCCACGCGCGCTTAAATGTCTTCATATTTACGAACACGATGCTCATTATGCGTACTTATCACACACGCTGACATGCGCTACTACTGGGTCCGACACGCTGGGCCATTTGCGAACGTACCAATATAGCGCGGCTGCATGATAGATGGAGGCTTGAAAGAAGCTTTGCCAGATAAATCCAAAGCCCAGCTGTGCTCTTTTACAACACGTATACACACACACACACACACACACACACACACACACACACACACACACACACACACACACACACGGAGAGCCTGCGCACGTCACCATTGTCATAATCAGTACACAGTTGAATCGCGTCGACTTTGCTCGCTCATTCATTCAAAGGCAATTTATTCCCGCTGTAATTTGATTCAAGGCGATGAAAATAGACCAAAATTTTCCAAGGGTTTTCCTCCCAAGACGATGAGAAAACCTCGCGGCCTCTTCTTGACATGCTTTTGTTTTTGACCATGACTACAAATATGATTGGAGCACAACAAAAAAATTACGCGGCGGCGGTGTCGTGCCCGTTGACCTAGTGTCACACTGACACAGTGGCTCTCGGGGGCCCGCAACAAAGCTGACCTCAAACACACCCTGCTGGCTTTGAGCAGCTCTAATTAGCTTAGCGCGACAGCCCGCTGGCACACATTACTCAAGGATTTCCCCTCCTTGCTCGAGCACTCCCGTGACTTCACTCCTCATAAGATTGCGTGTGCAGTCGACCACAAAATAATTTCACTGATAATGTGTCCAAGTGTGTCGTAAACCGATTGCAAACCAATGAAAGGGTTCGCTTTTAAGAAAAATTCCACAGCGAAGGCATCACAAGTGAGTCTGGCGGATTACATCCGTCATTTGAAGGGGACATGGAAAAGGCCAGCAAGAATTTATCTGCTGACCAAACACGATTAGAAGCATTGACCTACTTTTACAATTTAAATTCAGGTTTTTTTTTTTTTTTTTTTGAAGATGATATTGAATTAATTTATTCCCAATCGTCTATTCTCATTTCGTAGCGTTTATTTTGACTATGCCGCTATGTTCGTTTTTTTTTTTTTTTTAATCCAATCAAATTTCAATCTACACTTGTTGCTATGCTAGTCTAATCTGCTCAGAAAGCAAGATGGCCCCTGCAGATGTCAACATTTTCCCTGCTCCTGATTGGTTGGTCCGAGCAAGCACATTTCAATCGGTAAAACACGTCTGGAGCATTTATAAATGCTGCCTGTTGAGTATGATATGTTTTATTTACATTTGAAATCTATTGTTATTGATTCTGAACTGCTCTAAATGATGAACGCTTATCCCGGTTGTTAGCATTAGCTGATACAAATAAGGGTTAAGCAGTTGTTGATGTGGAGGCATTACAAGTACAGCACTGTTTGTTTGACAAAGAAACAATTCATTCCTACCAAAATGCCGACTAAGCGAAGTTACCAGACGGTGAACACGGAACGGCTTTGCGGCTAGCGCTCACCGAATGAGATCCAGCAGAGCGTCGGCCGAGCTGGTCATGGGCTTCTTGCTCTCCTCGGAATCCTCCTTCTGAGCGGCTCCTCCGGGGTGAATGATGTACACCATGATGATGCCCACCACCACAGCAACAAAGGTGGTCCAGAGGTAGTAGGAAATAGTCATGATCCCCAGTCGACTCGAGCATTTGGCATCCAGGGCAGCCAGACCTGACATCAAACTAATTGAAATTTTCCAAGGAGGAGGACAGAGAGAGAAGAAAAGGAAGAGAAAAACATTTTAGAAAAACAATTTGTCCCCCTCAAATTGTGTGTGATGATTGAATTGTACACGCGCACACATGAATGTAAACTGGATTGCAAGGTAAATCTATTTTGCTGAACGTCGTGATTATAATTTCAGTACAAGATATCACTGCGCGTGTATGAGTAACTTCAATGTCCGGCTGCGTGAAGAGCTCGTCCTGCGCTGGTCACAGATTCGACCTCAGACGCAAAATTAGATCACAGGGCAAAAGTCAAGCTGAGCTTGATTGGTATAGCTTTGACAAAAACAAAACAAAACAAAACAAAAAAAAAA